AATATATAATCAATTTATATATTTTTATATATAAATAATCCTTTTAATTTATTCTCATAATCTATATCAATAAATTCTAATATTATTCTCTAGAAGCGATTTTAGAATACTCAATTTTGAATATAGAAAACCAAAAAAAATATCATTTCTATGATATAGAATTATACAAGAAAAATATTTTCGATAAGAATTCTATAAAATAATATCATATATATATATATTTATTTATTTATTAATAATGAATTATATAAATTAAATATAAATAAAATAAATAAATAAGATATTTCTAATTAGATAATTATTTCTCTATATACCCAATTATAATACAACCAATGCTATAATTATTATAAGTAATAATATAGATTTACCGCCACTAATCAAATAATCCAGAAAAAATTGAATCAATCCCTATTTTCCATACCGACCATATTCCACACCAGTCGCCTATATATTTACGATAATTTAACTAACAGAGACGAGCATAAATACACCTTCTTTAATAGATTACCCCACCAGTTAGCGCTCATATAATGGTCGTTTCAAACACATTATTATTCGCTTCAATATGCATAGATAAGTGCAAGTTATTTTTCGCCAGAATATTATTTATCATGAAATCTTACGATATAAATAATTGCCGCGGGAATTCAGCGCAAGAAATCAAGAAATAGTATGATCTGTACTGTCTCAGTTGTTGAAGGCACAAATGATTTGTGAGAAATCAAGAACCAGTCATATCATTCTATGATTATTTTGATCCACTTGCCTCAAGGGTAAGGCGGCTCAGTGGAAGCAGCTCACGCACCGATCTGGAGACGAGTCGTGCAGGCAAAGAGGTTCTTCTGCTATGAATTTTCGCAAGCATTCTCGTAGTTCAGTGGCATTGGGTGGTAACTTGAAACGCAAAGCCGCCTGTCTTTGATTGATTGGAGCCCGGCTGATTTCAGTGAAAACCCTTGATTTCCTGCTGCTCTGTTGCATGGACTTCTGAATCGGATGGCAGATAAGAGGCCTTTGGGCTCGCATGGGGCGTGGGGGCCCCAACGAAACATCCACAGCTAACAGGCTTCAAATGACCCCAACAAGACACCCAGAGCTGAGCCGCGTACCCGGAAGGAGTAGGTGCAGGACTGGCCACAGGTGACAGGGTAGGCTCCCCGCTATGGCGAGTCGAAGGTTCCACGACTTCGCAACTGCACCGTTGACTCTTAACTACACTGACTACACCCCTCCCAGAGGACAGCCCTTCTGGGCATCAAATTGTCCTCGAAGTCTGATGCAAGTATATAAGCACTGCGGAGTTGCCGTCAAACTCGCAGTACCCGGAATGCATCACTCGGCTTCCAACATCGGCATCACACTACGATGCCAGGGACGTGCAACATAAATTTCGCATAGCGCAGTAAGACGGAACCTTTGGCCGATAAGATCCTTCTCAATGTGTGCGGGCTGGCTTTTCATCATACTAACCTGAATTCCTGCGCCAGCGCCCCCCTGGCTACATGGGGGACTGGCAGACCCGTAACCCACTCTAACGGACAATGCGTATCATGCCTGTCCCTTGGCAGCAAAGCTTGCAGCTGCTGCAATAATACAGTCAAGTCCCTTCAGATCATCGATGACGTGGGAAGAAGTGAGTCAAGGGGCTTAGGCTTAGGCTTAGGCTGTACCGCCGGCTTGAGGTTCCACAGTTAGACTGTGGCAGATTCTCTCCAGTCAACTTCATGCCGCAAGCTCGAGACTAGGCTCACACATCCAAGTGGACCTCGTGACAGTAAACGTGCCAGTGCTGCCTTCTCGCACGCAAATGCGATAGCGTCCTCGAGACGGGATGTCAGGGAGGCTCAACTCTGGAAGGGATTGTTACAGCCCTCAAAGGGATGTCATAATATATCCGTTCTAGCTTGTAACATTTGCAGGAGACTGCATAGTCCTCGAAAACCCTTCGCGCTCCCCCAAGATGCTTAGCTCATGCAGGAGGCTCTGAAATTTGCTGCATCATGTCTGGGCTCAGTACAGCTCAGCACGCAGGTTCGAAGGACCGTGCAGCTCAAGCAAAGTCTTGGCTTCGGGTCCTTCTTCTCCATGTGGTAGCACTCAATGATGTCCATCGGGCACTTCGTGGCACCCCGCCTTCAGCTGATGGGAAGCGGCCGCTTTCAACACGGCTTCCCAGTTTGAAAAGTGCCCCACTCCGATGATCGCTACAATGCTACAATCGCTCTCATTCGCTCAATGCCAAACGACAGGCAGGCCTGACAGCATCGAAGGTGAATGGCCTCAGACAGCACGCTCGAAGCAGATGCGAGTTATGAGCCCTGGTTGGTACACAGACGGGGCGGTCATTCGGTCTGGATCGTCCTGCTTGCTATGCATGTGTAGAATGGCGAGAAGAATCAGACTGACGGCGTGCATTTGGGACGGTGTCCCAGCAAGTGCAGATTCAGCAGGCCTACGTGGGGGTCTCCGAAAATAGAGGACCCTAATATAGTACCCTGAGTAGTAGGATCCTTATTACAAGGACCCCAAATAAGGTACCCCCTTATTTTCGGAAAACTGCCATGTCTCAGTAAGGCAGGTACAGCAGCGAAGCGGAGTCCGTCTTCGCCACAAACTCGAGATTGCCGTTTGGCCTAACTTGCCATCAGTGTCTGATGCATACAGACATCCAGCACTTGTGTTTTGCCTGCTGGGTGGCGGTGGCTGCTACCGCTGATCGTCAGTGGCAGTTCTCGGATTTAGAAAGTCGCCCAAAGATTCTAGATTCTAGAAGCTCTGAGCAACACGAAGCGCAGAAGTGAGCAAAGGGCTCACTCTTGTCCAGGACGGGGATCCTCCAACAGACCTCGCTGCAAAACTAAGTCTTCATTGCTGCTTGACGTCCTACAGGCAAATGCAGACATCAAGTCCAGCTCCACGAAATTAGAGTCTCTGCAGCCTCATCGGCAACACATCTCGGTAGATGATGGACCACTGGGTCGTATGAGGCCTTTACGAACTGCCTGAACTTCCATGATCCTGCAAAACGTCTTCGATACGCAGTCTTTCTGTCTTCGTACAGCAACCACCTGATGTCAGCCTCAAATAGTCGGAAGGAGCGTGTCTTCCACGATTCGATTCAAGCTTTGCGTCTCGCCAGTTCAGAAGGAGATCCCATGGAACCACAGGTGACGGCGACCGTGTGAGCCTACTACTGTGCAAGCCCGGAGTCCTGGTGCTCTCTGACACTAGACAAACAGTCACGCCCAGTGTGCGTGTGGCACGCCCCGGTGTGGCAGCTCTTCCAATGTTGACTGCGTCGGCTCACAGACAACGAGCCCGTGTCTTTGCATTCGCTGCCTACCCGAAATTTTGCTAACTTGTCCTGCACCGCAAAACTGCAAACCAGAAAGTTGTAGAGCACCCGCCTGATGTCCTCCAAAAGCTCAACGTCAACACAGAAAACTCCACATCCCTCGGATGAGGCCTTGCCTCGCTCTGACCGTCGTAGCTCGCCTCACCCGGTTCGGCGCTGGAAACCTGCGGCCTCCGCTTCACAGCAGTCTTCCGGGTAAACGACACACGGGACAAGGGCCACTACTGTATCGAACAGGCAAGACTCCTTGCGGTCCACTCTAGGCCTCTAGGGCCTCTAAGCCTTGTGCCAGAAAGAAGTTGCCATCATGCCACGATGTGCCTAGCTTGGTGACATGGTTCGATGTCCCTGCGAGCTGTTCATATGTATCACATCCCGCCGACCGGCTGAGACGTTAAACGAGGTCCGTCGATCTGCACCAGCATGGAACCTCGCATGCTTCGGAAACCAACTCGACCTCAGCCGGAATCCTCTCAAAGCCAGGACAAGCTAACTCCGGCCACGAAGAAGCTGGGTGAGGCCAGGCCTGAAGGACACCGCAACAAAATCCCACGCTTCAGGCAAGGGAGGCAAAGCTCCGCTTCAGACACAAGGGCGGTTCTGCTTCAGATCTCACTTCTCAGATGAGAATTAGGGTTTCCTTGGTCGTCATCAGTAGAGGGCCATGCCGCCTGCCAAGCAACCATGCACACTGGAAACCGTTCAAGCTTTAAGGAATGTCGTGGCAGCGAATGCTGCAACATGCCGCTAAACAACTGCAACGGGTTCTTCGGCTGAACGGCAGGAAGAAGGAGAACTGCTTCAGACGCAGGACCATTCTCCGCACATCCGTCGGATCAGAAGAGAATTAGGGTTGCCTCGAGGTTCATCATTCTGCAGTGCTCTCCAAGCGTGACGAGGTCGTGCTCAAGATGCACCATTGTCAAGGCGAGTCAGGCACAGTGGCTCGCCGCGAGCTCGGGGAACAAGCGTGATCCGGGCACACCTCCTGCCTGTCATCTGAAGGCTCTTGGACTCAGATCTCCTGCCTGGAGGATGCGGCGGCTGGGAATCTGATCTGGACGTCCTGAAAGCAGAGCAAACGAAGGTGAAAGATTGCAATCAAGGTGTCAGGCTTCTCGGGGAGGACATGGCTGTCCAGTACAAACCGGCTAAAGATGCAAAGGAGCCATCTTTTCAACTAGGTCTGTGTCACCGCTGAAAGCCTCGTGGTCTATCAAGCGATGCCCCAGTGCCACCTATCTCTGCACGGATCTATACAAGCAGAGGCAGGATACCGATGGGCCAACTGAAGACACTCAGGAGGCTTCCAAAACTGTGCCTAAACATTCTGTAAAGACTATCGAACCTTCGGCATGTGAGGCTTTCTTTTCATGCAAAGCAACTGCATGTCCAAAGCCTCACATGGACGCAGGGTTCAAATCCGAGTAATACAGACAGCATCAATGCGGTTGAGGTTGCTTCGAGAATGGCTGATGCCGTTTAAACCCTGGTCGAAACGTGCACAGGTCGAAGCCGATCTTCCATGGCAGCAGTCACATCGGAACTTCAGAGGTGTGGAACACGGCCAGCTTCGCGTACCTGAATTTTGCAGCTCGCGATCTCGACAATTCCACATAAAGCCAACGGCCAAGGCGCTCCCGCATCTGCTGCATGTTTTGTATGAGGCGCTCCTGCTTGCTGGGTGCTGCCTGGCACGTGGGGCAGGCGCAACGACGTGTCCCAACTAGCAGTGTCGCCATCGTGGGCCTCCAGTTTCGCCTTCTCCTGCTTCAGCTCTTCCAGTACTTGTGGGAAATAGGATGCCTGACACAGATGGTAACAGTAGTTGACAACAAACCTGGTCTCCAGGAGTCTCTGGACCTGACTCGCAGTCGAGTCTTGCCTCGATTCTGCTGCGCGTGACATGGTCGATCTCGCCGGGTTCCGTTGCAGCCGAAGCTCCATCGATGCCTCGCATAAAGCCTGCAAAGCTTTGCTCGTTGCAAACTCAGAGCCTCTGAGAGTCTCAGCACCGTGAACAGAGCACGGCCAGTCTCATAGCGATCGCCGCTTTTCCCGACGACACCCCGCTTGCCACTATTGTACGAACCACTTTTATCTACTTAGGGCGCCACAGGCGAAGTGCTAATGCGTTCAGGCGGTAACACGAGACCGTCGAAGCTTCGGGCGACAACAGTGACTTGAACCCGTCGTGCCCGAAAGACTGTCGCAGGAAACTTTAGCCAAACCTCACCCTTGAAACATGCAACAGCATGCAACAGCCCAGCCTGGTCGAACCACCTGGAAGTCCGGTCTCGCTCCACCCGTGCCAGCTAAGCTGCTGGCCGGCACGGCCACTCCCACGATGAGACCAGCCAGAACTGACATGAACACAGCGCCTGCATCGCTCGAAATCGTTGGCTCAGCCCTGTCGATCTTGTTGATGCGGCTGGGCGCCGAGGATGCGTGTGGCGAAGATGGCACGACGAAGGCATCGGCCAATGCAAGCACCGCTGCAACTAGGAGCATGCAGCAGCAGGGCATGACGAATCTGGAGCGCGACATGCCGCAC